TATTCTTTTGGTTATAGGAATAAGAACATGAAATGTGAAACATTAATAATGTACAGGAGAAAGTGATCAGAAAGTGTAATTAGGCACTGGTAGTTAGCAGATAGCTATTGATAACTTTACATTATAAATTGGTAATTCTACAGAATAAAAGTCAAATTAGTTTAAGATAATAACAAGGAATGTTCCAACATTATTTTTATGATTATAATAAAGTAGTCTTAGGAAAGTTATTTTAAAAGTCTACCTTTCTTTTGAATAAATTGGTAGAGACTGGGTTTTTGACATAATTTTAGAAACAAAAGGAAATATGCTGCATTAAAACATCAGTACTAGCATAGTAATTTTTTACATTAACATGTGCCACTGTTTAAGATATAACTTGTTAAAATGCACTTGGTATGTTTTCTTTTCCTACTATTTTTATTGTTTATGTTTTTAGCCTAAGTGACTAGAAATCTTTCAGAGAAGGTAGTTGGCTGTTCCTTCTTTAGTAGTGTGGTGGTTTGAACGGCAATGGCCATCTTAGGCTCATATCTAAATGCTTGTTTCCCCAGTTGGTGGAACTGTTTGGGAAAGATTAGGAGTGTGGCCTTGTCGGAGGAGGTGTGTCACTGGGGGTGGGCTTTGAGGTTTCAAAAGCCAGTGCTAGCCATTTCCAGTTAGTTTTCTGTCTGCCTCCTGGCTGTGGATCAGAAGTGAGCTCTCAGCTGCTGCTCCGGAGTCATGCCTGCCTGGCTGCTGCCCTGCTGATTCTGACCCTGATGATCATGAACTATAACCTTTGAGAATCATGAACCCTTGATGAAATTCTTTCTTCCATAAGTTACCTTGGTCATTGTGTCTTCACAGCAATAGAAAAGTAACCAAGACAATAGTTAGTATAAAGAACTCAAAACTGGCAATGTCAAGTGGGACATTAATTGGGTTTTATATTAATAAGGATAGTGAGATCAGCTGAACATGGTAGCACACACCTTTAATGTCAGCACTCAGGAGGTAGAGGCAGGCAGATCTCTATGAGTTCAAGACCAGTGTCAGCTATGTGGTACATTCCGGGTCAGCCCAGTGCACACAGTGAGACCGTATCTTAAAAAACAAATAAGCAGGCTGGAGAGATGGCTCAGAGGTTAAGATCACTGCTTGCTCTTCCAAAGGTCCTGAGTTCAATTCCCAGCAACCACATGGTGGCTCACAACCATCTGTAATGAGATCTGGTGTCCTCTTCTGCCCTGTGGAAATATGTGCAGACAGAACACTGTATACATAATAAATAAATAATATTTAAAACAAAAACAAATAAGCGATGAAACCAACAGAGAATTATGAGATCATCTCTATATTATTTTAGTCACATAACAACTGTGTGGTAGCCAACTATTTCCTGCATGTGTAACCTTTTAGCAAATGGAGAGAAACGTGTTACTTCTATGCTTCATTTTCAGTTTTTTATTCCCTGGCCAAATGAAGTTTATATACAGGGCATACTATACATATGAAGCAGCATTCACAAGTCACACAATGGCTGGCTTGTTTTTTATCTTTAAAAAAAAAAAGCCTCTCTAGGATAGAAAAATAAGATCTTCTATTGTTTATCTGCTTTTTCTTTTTATTTTTTAAGCAGGAGAAGTTTTAGAAGTGTGAATGTTTTACCTTAATGCCTGTGATTGCTAGGTGTATCTTGGAGCATAGCTGTTATTCAGGATGATTTGCTGAGGTCAGGAGAGCTTGCTGTGCTTGGAGGTTGAGAGGAAGTAAAGGAAAAGAGGTGGTCAGTGGACGGAAATATTCTAGAGTTCCCAGGAGCCAAGCAGAACCTTTCAGTATCAAGCAGATACAGAAATCCCATTATTTTATGAATTTGCAGAAAGTGCCATGTTTGTATTTGATTTTATGCAATTTCCAAATGCATGCTTCAGAGTAAAACATTTGTAGCATAATTTAAACCTTGCCTCTCCTCCAGGTTAGTTACTCAACAGAAGCAATGAGGGATATCAAAGAATCAGCTGTTCGCATTGTTTGCGTTCAGAGGCACTGTGCTTTACGTTAATGCCATGTTCTGTGTTGCTTCCAGGCTATTTTAGATTCTGGGTTTGTTCTCTTCTCCCTGTAGTGTGTCTACAAGAAAGCAGCTGCCTTTGTGCTGCGAGCAGTTGGTAAACACTCTCCTCAGCTGGCACAGGCCACAGTTGACTGTGGCGCCCTGGACTCTCTGGTGATATGCTTGGAAGATTTTGACCCTGGAGTCAAGGAAGCTGCAGCCTGGGCACTTGCATATATTGCAAGGCATAATGCAGGTACTGGGGTGTGTTTGAAAATTGGGTGACTCAAGTTTAGATTTATTAGATAAAAAGCAGCTTTGTTTAGTAAATCAATGGAGTTTTAAAGGTGTTGCTGGATATCATGAAAGAGCAGTCTCAAAGGCTAGCCATACTGTTTGGATCACATATTTACAAAACACTTCCACATTTGAGTCCCAACAGAAGGGAAATTTGAAGGAGATGGGTGGTAGGGCAGAGCGGGATTGGCAATGGTACATGCTTGTAATCCTAGCATTCAAGAAACAGAGGCAGGAAGATCCAAAGTAAGTTCAACAAACCTGGGTTACACAGCAAGACACTGTCTCGAAACCAAACCAAACCAAGCCAGATAAAACAAAACAAAACAAAAAAGTTCAGCCAACCAACCAGACAAATACATTCTTGGTAAGTGGTCAAATAATGATGTTTTTGTGACTTGTCATCACCTGAGCTCATTGTCACTCATGACAGACATTCCAAGCCAATCAAAGAGCCAAATCACATGAATGAATGATGTGAAAAGATGATATAAAGTTATAGAAAACGTTTTGTTCCCTTATGTCAGCAGGAAGGAGGAGGAAGAAAGTAAGGCAATGTTCTTCTATAAACTGACATCTTGGTGCAATCAACAAGATGGGATGGGGTCTCCTGGGAGGAGGCTGTGCAGACACGTGATGGGTAAATGATGTGTGGGGGGCGGACTCACCCCATCTCTCTGTAGAAGCTGCTAAAGAACAAATGACGAATGGCATCTGAGAACGATGAGCTTTGCTGGGAATCAGCAAACCGCACATTCAAACGGGATAGCCGCCATCTGCTGATGGGGAGGAGGCACAGGGCAGGACAGCCCTGGGGTAGGGTCTGCATTCCAGTCTAGTACACTTCGCTGCTGTGTGACCTCAGCCGCAGCTTGGGAACTTCTGAACTTGAACACCCTCATCTGAACAGAGGGAAGCTAACAGTTATTTTCGAGGTTTGTAATGAGGGCGGTGAAATTAGAAGCCAAGAGCTCCAGTCAGTGCGTGGCATGTACCTGGTGAACACAAGATGCTGATGTCAGTGTGAAATACTGGAAAGGACATTATAACACTGGTGGTTTTTAGTCAGGTATGGAGGATGGAAGAATGAAAGTCTGAGGCCACCCTATGCGACATAGTAAAGCTTGAATCTTAAAAAAAAGTAAAGTAAAACAGAATGACATTTATGAGGTTGGAGGAGGAGGTTCAAATTGTACAAACTAATGGAGAGTAGTTTGTCAAAATTAGTGGAAGTCAGGGGAGAACTCAGGCTCACCCCAAACACCTGCTTTGGAAATGAGTCCTGAAGCAAGGCTGTCACAGAAGGGAAAAGCTGCATTTGTGGAAATGTTATTATAACACTATTTATAGTACCAAATGCCTCAAATATTTGACAGAACTTGAATGGTTAAATTATAGTAATCCAGTTAATGAAATCTCATGCAACAAAGTAAAAGGTAATTAGAGTCCTTACATGTTAACGAGGAAAAGTAATTAAATACTAAAAAAGAGAAAGTGGTATATTATGGTTACAGTACTGTAAAATGAGCTTTCCTATGGATGTAGATTATAAAATGCGAGTTGCATGACCAAGCTGGTAGATTAAAGATGCCTCTTTTCGCGTCTAGATTTTCCAGTGTGTAGAGAAGGGCCGCTGCTGGGTGGGGAGCCGTCCTGCCGAGGCTGCCTCTGCCCTGCAGTTCTGCTCCATTATCTCGTGTTGCTTGCAGCTGCCCTGAGGTGCTTCTCTCTCTGTCTGCTGAGAAAAGTGTGACTTACAGAAGAGGCCTGGGATGATGTGAACGGTGGCATCAGAGTCGGGTTCTAAGTCTGTCTATTCCAAGTCCGTGTTAGCCGCTGCACGTAGAGCTGGGCTGACCACTTCCTGGCAGTACTGGAGGAAACCCGCAGAAGCAGGCCGAGGCCCCCTCAGGTTGAATTTGGGTCTTAAAATGGGGACAGCACTAGCAACAGAATAGAAATAGGGCGGCGGGAAACTTCAGTTAGAAAAGAACACTCTTGTCGTGTTTAGAAAGATCCATATTCAAGTTAATTTCCATCCCATAGTGTCCTGAGTTCATAAGTTGTCGGCCTGTCATATACCGTGTTGAGAGAACTCGGTGTTTTCAGTCAGAAGCCAAAAGCTTCCCAGTTGGATCTGGTGGGTTCTGATAAGTCAGAGGACTGGTCCACAGTGTGGTGAGCCAGTCTGACGAGCACACATAAGCTCTGAGCCGGAACAGGCACACACTGGTGGGCATGTGCCATGGATGTCCTGCCTGCCTTCCTTTTTTGCCCCATCTGGGAGATATTACTGTAGTTCACAAGCAGGATCCCACTTAGGGATCACATTCCACTTTCTTTCCATGTCCTAGATCCCGTGTAGAACTCCCACTCTAAGTTAATATTTCAGAGAAGTTAGGGGCCTAGGGCCCAGATACTCCTCAAAGAGATTACTGTGTCAATTTCTCAGAAGGAAAAGGAACTACTGTCCAGTTCCACAGAAGTCACCAGGAACAGCCAAATCAAAGACAGTGAATATTTACCCCCAAATAACTGGTTTATTTCCCAATGTCCCTAAAAGTGGAACTTATCAGATTACTTGAAAATATCCATTCATTGTCCTTTTCTTACTATCCACGCTAAGGCACTCGATGGTTTAAAATGTTTTAGACCTTAAGTGAAATGCCAAAGGAGGTATACTTAAGGGCAAGAGGAGGAGGAGATTGGAGGTCGGAGGTTAGCCCTTTTTTTTAGAATAGTCTTTTTTCCTTCCTTCCTAATTTTTCCCACTTTGCAAACAGGTCAGTTACTTAACAAGTCTGCCTTGATTTTCAGGGCCTGGTCTTGCTTTTGGAGATAAGTGTCTGACCAGAAGCATGAGGGATGAGGTAAAAAGGACTGTGGGATTGTAGCCCCTGGGCAATGGGCAGCGGGCACAGAGAGGAGCCCTGTCCCCAGCCTCCCAAGCTGAACCTCTCAGTGCCATGGGAAGCCTAAATAAAAGCTCAAACTGAAGGAAAAGCGAGAAACAGCTTGGGGTTTTGAGGGAACCTCTCTACGCCTGGGCTCAAAAAACAAGTGTCAGGTGTCGAGAGCTTTAGTTAAAAGCCAGGCTGTCTTTTGGTAGTAAGCTGTGGTTGGACTCAAGGTCAGTGAGGAGAACATTTGACCAGACAGTGTACAACTTAAGCCTGATTCTGTGCCAGGGTCAAGCCGAGGAAGGTGCCTCTGTCAGCAGCAGCTTCCGATGGGACTCGGACAACCAGCAGCTTCTCAGCCCCTCCTCTGTGTGAGGAAAGACTGTCCTTTCAGGTCGAGCTCCTCGTGACATCAGACTCCTCTGCCTCTGATTGCCAGGGCCTGGCTTCCACATGTGCGCTCTTCCTCTTCAGGCCTGATTTATGTGCAGCTCAGCCCTGAGATGGAGCTTCTGCAGCCTGGGGCCTTCCTCTCAGGCCTGGCCACTGTGGACACCACACAAACATTTGCTACATTACAGCCGCTTTTTAGAGTAGCATGTGGAAGGAATCTTAAATATGTAGAATAATGAAATGAGAAAGGAGAAGGCTTTAAAATTTAGAATTTTTGTAAATATTCATCTCCCTCAATGTGCAAATATCAGTGGCACAAAGAGGGTAAAATGGCCTAGGAGGCGACAATCAATTTTAAAACCACATACTTATTTATGAAGAAACTGCCTAAATCTACTTAACAATTTTTGAAGTAATTAACTTTTAAAAGTGAAAATTTTAACGATCAGTATTGGAGACAAGTATTAGTGATGTTGTACTAATAACGTAAGAGTAGATAAGCAGCCACTTATACTGTCTCAGGAACTGGGGAGGTGGGGGGTCATCCGGTGAGTTTGGGAGCAGCCCAAGCAACAGAGTGAACACCCCCATCTCAACAACAAAAACAAAGCCCCATAGACTGGTGACTGCAGACAATAATGCCGATTTCTGTAACATTTTTGCTTTCTATTTTAATATATAAATTTATTTAATCTTGGAGTGCTTGTAGTACACCAAGAAAAGTGAGTCTTAGAGGGTCATGAGATTTTATATATATTTTATCAAATATATGACACTTATTTCCCCAAATTCCTTTCTGATGACCCAGGTGTTAGGGAAAGTGGAAAACAAACCTCTCTTGTGTGTTTTGCGGGAGCAGAGGCCAAGTGTGTTAAAATGTCGTTCTAGTTAGACCCGTGTTCCACCGGGCAGTTACTGTGCTAGTCATTAGTGCGCATGCCGGTTACTGTGATTTTCTTGTATGTCTAAATTCTTGTAATTTTTTGTTCTTTGTTTTTTATTTTTATTTTGTTGTTGTTATTAAGAACTCGGGCCTTTCATCCTAGCACTTGGGAGGCAGGCAGATCTCTGAGTTCTAAGCCAGCTTGGTCTACTGAGTGAGTTCCAAGACAGCCAGGGCTACACAGAGAGTTTTTTTTTTTTTTTTTTTTACTTTAAGTATCAAATATATCTTAGCTCTTATCTACCACTTCAAACAAAAAATCTGTGATGGAATCAGAACTAGAAAAACGGTTAGCTTTATATCCTTTTTCATAACCCACGTTCTGTCCTTCCTCACCATTCACATTTAGCCTTTCTTCTCTCCTTTTCTATATGTTATATCATGCCTACATGTACATTTATTTACATATGTACATATATTATTGCCTAGGTTCCACACCATTTCTCAGATTGTATGACCTCACTTAATATTATAAAAGCCCATTATTCCTGCATTTTTTAAAATTAATTTTTCCTTAGAGCCAAGTACTATTATACTGGCTGAGGAAATAGTGGCAATGTTTACCCAATGTGATTTCAAAAACATTAAAGATGCTAGGCAAGGAGCTGGAGAGATGGCTCAGTGGTTAAGAGCACATCCTGCTCTTGCAGAGGACCTGAGTTCAGCTCCTAATGCCACTGTCAGGTGGCTCAGACCCGCTGTAACCCCAGCTCCAGGGATGACACCGCTGTAACCCCAGCTCCAGGGATGACACCGCTGTAACCCCAGCTCCAGGGATGATACCGCTGTAATCCCAGCTCCAGGGATGACACCCGCTGTAACCCCAGCTCCAGGGATGACACCACTGTAACTCCATGGGCACCTGCACTTACCTGCACTTGTGGGAATTTGCTTCGCCAAAAACGTTGATAGAGGTGTGGTTTTTTT